AGAGTGTGTGTTCTGTGATAGACACTGTGTGCTCCTGCACTTTTTATATCGGCACTGTCAGAAAGCCTTAAAGATTGAATTGGCTCTGCTTGATCTAGGTGGAGTCCGTTTTGTGTAAACAAGGTCACATGATTTGCATTTATGCACAGGAGTTATCAGACTTAGGCTTATCAATCCGTACTTACTATGAATGCAATCACGTCCAAAACATCGTGATTTTAACGAAGTTTTGAATTACCTGCATGTTGTTTCTCTTTTGCTTGATGGATAAAAACAAAGTTGGGTAAATTGCGCATTACCTTGACCTTGTAAAAGGGAAACGAAAACACCAAAAATGTTAGGCCAGGCAGTGAATGAAGATTTACAATTCGCCTACGCCTTTGGAGACAGTAGAGTAATCTTAACCATTTTGAACTAAATCAGTTTAGTTATTACACTGTTCACTGAGTTAATTGCAGGATGTCAGATGCTACTCGTGATAACGTTTATCAGTTTTGTACATTTTGTTGGGATTGCGACTCTTGAATCTTCAAAAACGGCATTGTAAGGACCTCAGTGACTATCGTTAATGTGTAAGCCGTTCACCACTTTGCAATTTCATATGCGAAGGAAATGCATTACCTTGCTCTACAGATGCGCTGTCAAGTCTAGGGGAGATGAGTCTCTTCCTCTTCTTCTTCTTCTTCTTATGTAACCTAAGATATTTTCCAATTTAATACTTTGCTTGGTAAATTTGGTTACCAGACACAAGTGATTTCATTTTATCAATTAATTCGAGACCAAGCTAAATCTCCTGAATGATCCATCATTCTGTGCAATTTACTTCCTTATAAATCCCACCTACACCATACATCTTATTTGCAACTGAACTTCTACTGATCAAAGCCATCAGTATGCGTCATTGAACTTGTGAAGGTCTGAGACTTTAAAGCATTCGCGAAATAATAAAAGGAACACAATTGTCCGAATTGTCTGCGGCCTTTTAATTCTTCCCGAGGTATTCGGGATTCAACGAATCGACTGCTCACATCTGGAATAACGTCCCACGTCAAAGTTTCACAAACCTACCGATTCGTACGCATTGTTTGAACACATATTCGAGGGACTGTGTAGACAGAGAACAGAAATTATGCTGTTTCGTAGGTTTCACCTACCCTTAAAATGTTGTATTTTAGAAAGCAGTCAAGGCCATTTCAAAGCTCTCAATTGCAGATTTATTGATCAATTTTACTTACCACAGTAGTGCCAATGCGATGCTCACATAAGGCTAAAGTCGGAAATTTAACTTAAGGTCTGGAATTAACTAATGCTGCCTGAACTCCTCTTTGCAAACTTTAAACAAGTGTACACTTCCGCTAACTTATAAATGCCATGTTTCACAATTTGCATGTATCCAACGTAATGCAATTCAAACCAATGAATTTGAGTCACACCACCTTTACGAAGGGTGTCAGTCTGGGGCCAGTGGCATCCAATAACACAGCAAAGCGATCTGCTCATTAGAATCTCTTACTGCAAAATTTAGCGTGCAAGAAGAAATCTGTGTGCGAATTGCAGTGGTGTCATGAAAGCATTTAGTGTGAGTTTCGAAGATAACTTGAAAGACGTCGCTCTCTTTACAGTCTGTGGGGTGGGCTGTGCAGTAATTAGGGACATAAACATCGTGTCTGTTAAAAGGTCGCAATTTTGTAAGTGGCTGAAAGATGGTACTGTAATCTGATTGCTCTAGTCTGAGCTAGAATGCGTATTCATTCTACACACGAAAACAATAATCGTTTTTTTCCAATGAAATGTATGTTTCGATTCGCTTTTATAGGTCGAATGTGTTGTGGAAACGTAGGTAACGCCATATTGTGACTAGGCATTTCTGGTCTCAACGTCGACTGAGGCTGGATTATATATGGAGACGCCCTAAAGTGGTCCGATTAACAATGAAAATCTATCAGTTATGAAGGAAAAGAGGATAAGAACCCACCAAACATTACGGAAGCATTCCAGGCATCATAAAAGAGGCGTAACTGGAGTTGGTAAACCGGAAGCAATCAAGGGGGCTGCTTTCCATTCGATACCTTTGACAAACATGAACCTGTTTTCGTGTTCCGGAAATCGGCAATGAATGGAGGTTTGCAAATCAATTACGCGTTCTATTCTGACTGAAATATTGGTCCGAGATATTCGTGGTTTTTTTCGGTAAATACCCACTAAGGAAATGTTTCCAGGCTTAGATTTGCGACTTGCGAAGGCAGGGCTAATTCTCATGGTCCAGTTGATAAGGAATAAAGATTTTTTCAACGATACGCCAATTTTCGTTAGGTCACACAACTTCCCCCATTTCTCGTAATTCGGGTGTACAATTCCACGTTCGCACATTTACGCCACCATCTTGCAAAATCAATGTCTGTGATTTATTAAATATGTTTTAGATCGTTTTTACTGAATGTCAGTGTAGGTTATGTTCCCGAATAAGTACTCACATCGACATATCTTTCTTTACTTTGCGTAAAAGCCTAGAAAGCGGACATAATTCTTGAACCAGACTGGGAGGGCTTGTCAAGTTAATAAAAGCGTTGCTTGGGTGTAAAAGAATATATAGACAAAAATTGCATCTATCCGTGGAATGGTTACAAATGTACTCTACCGGAATATTTAAGACCCCAGATATTTCCAGCACAATAGGGCCTAAAGTGGAAGACCTCAGAATCATTTTGAGCCACTTACCACGGAAACATTAAAATACTTGACTTAGAGTAGAGCGGGGAATCAATGGGGCTAAAAATCAACAGATTGCAAAATTGGGAAGTGAAGGCAACCAGGCCTCTCGAACATTAATAAAAGGAGAAGCGGAGTATCGCTTCACAGCTTCTCAACAGACCACGTCTAGTCACGTTCTTCCCACACATAACCAGATTTTTTCACAAAATAGCAAACTTATCAGCCAAATGTCTATAAATGCTCAAACTTCAGCCCAAACGGTTTTAAAGGACTGCAAATTCGCACTACCATTGAAGGTCCTTAAGCTTATATTTTAAAACATGATAATCGACAGAAAATATCACTTTAAGACGCTTCATTTTATGAGGGTTACCAAGCCTCTGTTCTTTAGTATTTAATTATAAAGAGAATCGCAAGTGAAACCCAGATGGTGCTGAAAGAACGACGCGAGACGACGTGGACACGGCCGTTAATTCACTCGCCACATTGGGTCGTCAAAGTATCTCGGTGTAAGCATGCATTTACTTCAAATACTGCTCAGGAAGAATCAGCGGACAATGCTTACGACTGCATGGAATGAGTGCGGTCATGAAAACTTGTCTGTGACAAATATGAGCAATCCAAAAGGTAAGATTGGGGAGGGTGTCAGTTACCACGGCCACTCTGGGAGCATAAGGATGATAGCCAATCAGAAAAGTTATTTCAAGGTCGCAAATTTCTAGAAGGCCAGTCTTTGAACCCCTGGGGTGGATATGTCTTAAGCGATTTTTACAATGGTAAATTGAAAGCAGGATTTCTGGCGTTAAGGATGAGACGTGCCAAGTTAAAATGGCCTACAACACATTCCACAAATCACGATTTACGGTGCTAAACGCTCGTGAAGTCAAGAAAACGTCGGTTGGCTTAGTGGGTAGCAGAAATGTGAATGGACACTTGTAATATGAATCGTTAAGTTCAAAAGTAAGCGTTTTGTGAGGGAGTCATAAATCATGTGGTTGGGGAAATAAGCATGCATGAAAATCGTGCACAGCACACCGATTCGAGTAAACGGGTGTGCAGTAGACACTTTGGTTAGACCTTTCAGAAGACCGTACATCGATCCCGATTAACGCTGCCAACGTCAACTTTATTTGGGGCCTTCCTTTCCCTGATATCGGGACGAGGTCATCAGCCCGAGCTAACCACTGTCGATATAAATAAGCCTCTCTCTAACACTCACGAAAACGTGTGCTACAACTTACCCACGGTGGGTGTAAGACCTGCATTATGATAGTCAAACGGGCCAGTGAGCACTTCACGTGAGGTAGAGCAGTTCTTCCTACCTGATCAGATGCTATATGGTGCCCGAGCGACATGACCCGCTCTCCGTTAAAT